AAGAGCGCTGTAGTCACGGAATTTACGGTCATTCCGCATTATCCTTAAATTTGTACTTGTTTTTGAATTCCAAACCCTCGGCTATAAGCTGAACCCCGTTTCTTGTGAAAAAATCTCCCAAACTTTTGTGTCAAATACTGAAAAATCGCTCGGCTTATAGGTGAAGAAATACGGTAATCGTTGTTTCAGTAGCAGCGCATATTGAAATTTATAGTGTTCTGGCGGGAGAGCAAAGCGTGATGCTCTGGGAATAAAAACTCTTAGGGGCCTTTTACTTGATATCGGAATGAGTTTTGTTCAAGAACGAGTGCATCCCGGTCGCCACATAATAGCAAAGTAAAATCATTCGAAACGAGTCATCAGGCGATCGGATATGGGTGAGGATGCTTGTCGTACCTTTCAGGGGTCAAAATCAGTGATCTGGTACCTTTTACTATGTCTCAAACTTTAGTGGACTATCAGAGACCTAGCTGGTACCTTTTAGAGTGTTTTTCGCTCAATAAAATACCTGAAATAAGCATTACTAGGACGATTTTAATGATCTGACATGAGCCTCTAGAGCATATCGATAAAGGAGTTTTTATTTTTAGGATTTTTCAATTTTTTGTGTTTAAATTGGTACTTTTTAGGGGTAGACATACGTTGCTACCACTCCCACACGGATAAGACTCGGGTACCTTTTATAATTTTATAGGGTCCTTTTCGAAATTCCCGGCGCGCATCCTCGCCCTCTTATGTTTTAGGGGTTCCTCGGGGGGTGCTGATACGTGCAGCACACTTGAAATTTAGCAAGGACAAATTTTGATGTGATTTTCGGTAAAGAGAAAAAAGTTTTGTTAGCAAATCTCCTTGTTAGCATGTAAGATGAAACGCTTATACAACAGATCAATTAGCTAAATCAGTAGGTGGCTTGTCAATCGAATTGACTTTTGTGAACATTCTTTGACTTTCGCCGGCAAAGGAATCATTGATGGATCTGGACATTTTAGTTTTCTGAATACAGTAATTCTTGGAAGATTTTTATAGATATGCAAAGAGGGAAAAAAAAACCATCTCTTGGTAATTCGGAGGTTGACTCATCTTTGAATTTATGTGTCACGCTTGTCATGCAACTGATATAATAATGTAGAGAAGTTTTATAAAGTGCCAATTAAATCTGACTAAAATGTGGTAGAGCATAACTTGATCATCGAAACAGCTCATAAAATCGTAAATAAATAAGGTAAGAGTATAATGCTAGATTTTTTACAAATTGTAGTGATTAATGCCAGTAAACGGTGGCGACAAATATAGGCGCAAGATGTATATTTCATAGTCGCTAGCAAGTAAATTTTGCCGGACTTTTAGTTCGTCTCACGATAGAACGACACAAATACACAAGGAAATTTTTACAATAACCATCATTTTGTCTTTTAAAAGCTAGAAGCTCAGTAGATTCTGTCATATCGGTCATTGTTAAAACTGTCTTTGTTTTGATGTTACTTTTCGACATAGAAAAAGTATGCCGGACAAAAATATTCACCAAAAAATAAATATTTATTTGCCAGCTTCAATAATGACAGGGGATTAAGTTTAGATGATAAAACAAAGGATTATGTTGACAGAAATACCGGAGGTCAAGTAAATTCGTCACATGAGGTCACACAACTCGGGTAATATTCACGGTGAAAATTTGCATATTTGAGCGGTCGAACGAAAAAACTCATTTCTCGAAAACTGAAATATATTTTCACAAAAAAACTACACGACAATTATTAGGACATATTGGGCTACAAAATAGGAAAGTAGGAGAAAAAACGAATTCTGGGCGACTTGCCACAATATTTCAAATTTGTTCGATGGATGCTGACATCCTCTATTAAAAGCAGAACCAGGATTTTGTGCAGGTGGGGGATCCAAGCTTGTCTACCAGTGGAATTATTTCTGTTTGTTAAAAAGTTTCACCTTTTTTTATTGTTCATATATTTTTGTGGTAACAATTGTTTGATGCAAAATTTACGTTTTTTTAGTAACAATTTTTCAAAGTTTGAAAGTGCTAGGTGAATTGCTAAAAAAATTTTGTAATGTAATGTAAGCACTTAGGGTGTCTGGAGGTCAGGGACCTCCCTTCCTTTCTCCTGGATCTGCCATAGATAAATAGAGGAACAATGTAATGTGGACTAAGCAACACAAATGGTTAAGGTAGTTTTCTTCCAATATACTTGTATTTGTAGCGTGCAACACAATTTTATTACGTCTTAACCAAGTAAAGTAACCTGAATTTTATGATTGTTTAGTTTTGGATAGTATACAAGATTTGATGTTTGTAAATCTAGATATAGATAATTGTATATGTATCAAGGGAAGGTGGTATTAAATTAATTCACCTGTTTGTCTGGTTCACTGCAGTGGCAGATCTAGGGGAGGGTCCTAGGGGAACTCTCAAATGTTTGAAATGGTATGTTTTCCCTGAACTTTGTCAATTATGCTTTCCCACAAGACCAGTTTCACTGAGTTAGTTTCATCAGCTATAAGACAATCAGTTTTACATTTGGCTTTCACAAAATCCTTTATGAGAACTTTTTTATTTTCCTGCTTTTTGAGGACTTTGGCCTTGATATCTATAGTTTCATACAAATCTTTTCCAAGTGCTTCAGTAATGGTGCATAACTGGTTACTGAAGGCTTCATTAAAAGAATATGAGAGAGAAGTTGGTGCTATTTCTGCATACTTTGGAATAGTATATTCTTCTTCTTGTGTGTGGAACCTTTTCGATGGTGTAGGTTTTACTCCAGTGATCTTTACTAGTGACTTATTTAGGTATGTTTGGTTTAGATTTGTTTGCTTTTGAGGTGAATAACAGTATGTACTGCTTCTTGTCCTGTTTGAATGCAACAATTAAAGTAGTTGATCATGAAATTTCTTGCTGTTTGTACTTCTGCTAACAAGTGCACATATCCTCCAATAGATTCCTCTAAGAAAAAAATTGGAAATCAATTAGTAATTTTCTGCTCAGTGAGTTTTGTGGAAGATCCTGTATTAACACTGATCTATTAAGGAACCACTTCTTATTAGGCGCCAGTTAACAAATTCCTGAAATAATTGTCACTGTGCTACTGTAAATAAGTGATATAAAATAGCCAATTCTATAAGTGTCAACAATCACTATTTGGCTGTCCTGATGAGCATTGCCCTATTGTTTTTACTCCTCTTTAGTAGCCTGCAGGATTGTAATTTAGAAAGTTTGGCTTTCACTTTTTTTAAAACAATCTTAGATAAGAGCCTAAAATTAGAAGTGATGAGCGATAAAATACCGTAAACGTCCATGTATAAGCCGCACCCCCGATTTGAAAGCGCAGAATTTGAAAAAAATAAAAACAATACAGTTTAAAGTTTTAGTAGAGTTGTATTGCTACAAACAATCAAGGTTTCGAAACCGACATAGAAGTTGTGGCTATCTTTCACATTTCTCAAGTCTAAAGAAAGAGAAATTTCATTTGTCGTACCTTCCTTTTCATTAGAATTTACACCATCTTTAACTTAAAATGCTCTTTCGATCCGATTTTTCAAGATTATCACTTCGAAACACGCCATAAAGTTGAAATTCCTTCGGCATTGAAAAAAAAAATCAAATAAACAAGTGCTTAGTAGCCAAGCTTTAAATGTTGGGAGGAGTCTGGGCCAGGGCCTGGCCATCGTCTGGGCATAAACAGTGTATATCGTTAAAAGCCATAATAGTCCTCGCTATCGCTATCTTCAAAGAGATTCTCACAGCTTTCTAGGTCAATTTCTGCTTGTTGCTGTTCGAAACTATCGACGTAAAGCAAGTCCACATCCTCATCCTCAGCTACGCCAGCAAATGGATCACAATTGGAGTCATCTTCCCACATTTGGTCGTCCTCTGTGCCATCCATGGCATTCGGAGAGCAGGATTCGCCGATAAACACTCGAAGACACAAACGTCTTCTTTAGGAGCCACCACTCAATGAAAAAGTCAATGAACTACAGCAAAGTGCGGCTTATACATGGACGTTTACGGTATTTCAATCCCTTGCGAATTACACGAGTATGGATAACCAGGATAGTAATCAAATCGAGCATAAACTGCTGTACCTCTATATGGTCAGAGATCATTAGTTGTTATTGTGGCATCCTTTCTAAACAAACCATATTTATCAATAATATATAGACTGTCATCATCAGATGACTGAATTTTGTCTCTGAAAAAATATTTACATTATTATTTGAGTAATTTCGTAAAAAGGTTGTTAGTTAATCTGATAAATCTTGTGGTTGATTAATCTTTCCATTTCTTTCAGTACATCATTATTTATGGCTATTTTTTCTTCACAAAGGTCAATTATGCATAAGCCTTGTATTGTTGTTACCCTGCTTAGACCTACATAGTGGATATGAGGTATTGTTTTTTTTTGTATCAAAGTTGACAACTACTTTAGCAAGTGTGTCACCTTTGGAGCTGTAGATTGTTTTTACAGCATCAGGATGCAGTGGGAATTGTTTTCGTAAGACCTAAGCTGTTGTGTTTCTACCTACTACAAACGGTGACGTAACTGGTTTGATAGGTGTCCATGTAGGTTTGATGCCTTGCACATAGAGATGTCTAATATCCTGTCTAGTTTTCTCACCAACATCAACACAATCAAATTGCACCCATACAATACCTGAAGGTTTGCCAGTTTGCTGTAGTTGAATAAGTTTGACTATGTTAGCAGCACCATTTGTCAAGTGATCATCAGTTCTTATGTTAAGAGATATGTCTCTCCTTTCACCTACTGCAAGGTTCAGTAATGTAAGCAATTGACTTGTTTTGTTTGGTTGATCAAGTGGAACTTATTTAAATAATTTTTTTCTCTGAGAGTGTGAGATTGAGCCCCAACAGAAGTGTCATGTGCTTTGATTGAGTACTTAGGACCAGACATAGCATGGTTAACTCTGTCATTGAAGTTCTTTACTTTAACATTCTGTGTAAATAAGTGAGGTATATCATGATATTTGGTGCTGTTGGAATCTATTAATCTCTCTTTAAACTTCATACTATCTTAGCAATTAAGTTTACCTTCTCTCAATCTATCTAGCATTTGAGAAAACATTGTACTTTCTCTTTGCCTCATAATTTCATGCAGTTCAAACATTCTAAATTGTTCTTACCAAAGGTTGGGTGCAAGAATAGAATACTCTAAATTGTCCAAGCATCTAAATATATATCCATCAATAAATGGCTGAAGTTGAAAGAGGTCACCTGTAGCAACAATACTCACAGTTCCAAAGGGTAAATGACTTTCCTTAATATCTTTAAGTCCGTCATTGATTTGAATGTTAAACATACTGTTGCCTACCATGGAAATCTCATTTATAAATAACAGTCTGACACCACCTAGTTGACATCTTAGAGTATTGAGTTACTCAACTCAAAAACATAATAAAACTCATTCCCTTTGACCAGTTTGGTTGTCAAGTTTGTCTTACACATTGGATATTACTCCACAATGGCAATCATACAGCCAGAAATAATGCATGTATTTTACAAGTACAGGTTAACTTTCAACTTAAAAGTGAAAATTTGCACCAGTTGATCATCTTAAATAACCTCCTCACCAGAAAGGTAGTGTGACAACTACATACATACTTTATTGCATAGCTCCCCCTTGAGGGCTCTTCTGCTATATATGAATATTAAAATATCAAATTACCAAGGGAAAAAAAAACTATTTACAGATTAAACATAGATTATAAAAACAGCTTACAATTTGATAATAAAAGAGCATCTTATGATCTATGAATTACTATATTTATAAAAAATGTTATTTCTAAAAAGGTTAAGGCTTTTTTGTGTTTCTGATCTCCTTTGGTAAAGAGTTAAATATTTTTACCCCACGGTAGGCAAAAGCCCATGAGATCCTGCATTTGGGCAACGAGAGGTTGTTCTTTTGCCTGGTGTCTCTTTGGTGAATTTCAGAATGGTGTTGAAATCGCTCATGAAGATACTCAGGAGTTGTTCATGCATTTGTAAACCATAACTAAGTCGCTGAAGAGCAGTTTTCCCTTCAAATTAAGCCAATTAAGAGACTTCAGGGCTTCTGAAATATGATCATACTTTTCTAAGCCAGTTACGATCCTGCAGGCATAGTTCTGGACTAACTGAAGTTTTCTAATATTCTCTTTGCTGGTGTTGCTCCAAACTGTCCAAAAGTAAAATAATTTGCAAAAGACAAAAGCATTTGTAAGATACAACAGGTTTCTTTCATCCAAAAGGTGCTCTATCTTATAGACCCTTGTTAGTTTAAACATACAGTCAGAGGCAATTTTAGTAATATGCTCATTATAGTTAAGATAACAATTGATGTACACTCCTAGGTCCTTTGTTACAGCTTAGATTGATTACAATTAACGAGTCATTCTGTATCAATGTCCATCGGGGATTGGAATGGCTCCCTGTTCTTGGCTTGCATCTTTGCACACTGGTTAACTTGGTCATCCATGGGGGATGGAGCAATTCATCAGAAACCCCAGGTTCAGTCTTGAGTCTTTTCTCAACAGACTCTGAAGTACTGAGGTAGCACCTGTAGGGAAAGTTTGCATCTGCTGTGATGAAAATGTTAACTTTGAGTCTAAAGGTGACCAGGCTAGAAATTTTAATTTTTAATTTTCCATCCCTTGCTCTGACTTTAAAGCCCTGCCACCATCCTGTGTAGTTATAACAATGAGACAACAAAAACACCTGGATACAGCAGTATAGAGCAACTCTCTGGTACATCTAGTGCTCATTGAATCATCTTCATATGGAAGAGCAACCAAGATGACCACTTTAGATTCAAGGCCCTTGAAGCTCCTTACACTTTCCACCACAATCATGTTGTAATTCTTCTCAACAAAGTCTTTTGCAATTTGCGTCATAATGCCTTGCCGACGAAGTGCATCTTTGAGACACTTTCTATCTTCTACTGATTCAACAAGAATACAAATGTCCCTTTCTTGAACACGTTCGAATCGTAGATGTATCAAATGAGCAATGACTGCCTTGGCAACTTCTTTGTGTCCTTCCCTGACACCGCGGATTTCCAGAGAAGTATCCCAAACGATTGGTAAGCCATCTACTTGATGACCAAGTGTAATGCCAGTATCAGTTGTCATAAGTGATTTAAAGTACTTTTCCAACTGCCTGAAAATATATCCTGTATTGCGTAACACTTCCTTGAGCTCTGCACTGTTACGGAGATATTCAGGGTACGATCCAACCCATTCTCTAGAGGAAATCAGGTACTGGTTTGAGTCATACATTACCCAGAAAAAGCCTGGAGGCTTCAACGAATCTTCTAGCTTAACAGAGCTCTTGTGCATCAGCTGAAGAAGATGTGGCCACTCACTTCCAAACAAGTCTTGACCTTCATCTACCAAAATGTGGTCATACATTCCATAGAAAGGTGAATTACCGGTTGGGAGGGCCTCAATTGCTGAATGAACAGACTTCTCTACCCGCCTAAAAAAAGGGACCATCCCTCTTTCTGATGGACGTGGTGGTCTTATGAGTTTAAAGATTGCATTGTGAACAGCCTTCTCTTTCTCCTCTCTGCTTAGAGGAGCTTTGGAAAGGCTATTAATATTAGCAATAAGTCTAGTAAATGTTGTAACATGTAGGCAGTTTTTTAATATCTCAGGAGAACTTTCTTTCCATGGGGTTTCAAGTATTGACTGTAACCTCGTGCACAGCGCAGAGTTGAAGCATACAACAAGAATTTTCTCATCTTTTCTATGCTCCACAATGGAGCTTAACAAAGATCTTGCCTTCTCCAGCAATAGCATGGTCTTGCCACTTCCAGCTGGTCCCCTAATCCAAAGTTTGGGAGGATAATGACCAACCAGCAACTTCACTTGTTCTTCTGTTTTGAAGATCAAAATCTCTCCAATGCGGTCAACACAATGGCCAATGAATGGACTGACATGGACCATGCCAACAAATCTAATTGAAAAATGTACAAAATTACACGATCACATATATTCTTGTTCACATGCACAGTTAGATAGTTAATGTACAATTTGTTTTGTGTAACTTGTGGCTCATTCTTGTATCAATGTATGGTGATAATTATAGATGTCCTACAATCCTCAATATCAATCAGAGTCCACACATAAAATGAATTCAACTTTAAGTGCCTAAAAAGAATGTGTATAGGTAGTAACAATTACTCTGCTCTCCAAATATCATGATCAGTGCAAAGTTTACAGAATGCATCATTTGCATTCTTTTAAGTTATTTCTTTATTACTCTTGAATTCACAATTTATGTCATGACATTCCACATTTGCACAAAACAAATGTGGAATGAATAACATTTGCACAAAACAAAAACTCAGAAACAAAAGAACTTATTAAAAAAAATATACTGAACACCATTCTTATTCATTTTGAAAAGCCATTCAAATAAGAAGCAATTATTTTGCAATGTCTCTAAGACAAATGGGATAGAAAGGTTGGAAAGCCCATTTCTTGTCCAGTATTATTGAAAGTGAGCCACATGTAATTAACAATCAAACTCTATCTTGTCAAATTTTATCTTCAGACTAGCATTTTTGAGCAAGGTGCAGCCACTTTATCCCAAAAAGTAAGAAACCAAAAAATCCTTGACACAGTGTTTTAGTTCAATATGTGCAGATCAGGTCCCTTTAAAAAACTATAATCTGTGTTGACATAAAGTGTTGTCAGATAAAGTTGTCTTTAGTTGTAAAATGTTTCGTATGAAAAATTCAGCTCCCTTTCTATTAAATTGTCAGAACTATAAAGTAAGGTAACATTCTGAAATCAGTGCTAATGTTATTAAGCTATAAGAAAATGTACACTTCTATAGGGAAAATGTAATTTAACAGGTTAGTTACCACTCCTAAAAAATTATGCTCACCTCATAACCAGGTACTCATACATGGTCGGATCAATTTTTGAATGTCCTCCACTGGCTGGAAATTTGCCATACCACCATTCAGAAAATGCTTCTGCATTGGTACAGTCCTCTTGATAAAGTACATGGTCCTGTGCACAAAGTGACTGACCTCGCTGAGTATTTGGCAATACCACAAATGCTGGGAATTTGTCGAATATTTTGCCCACTTGCTTATTGGATATTATCCCAGCTTCTATCATTTTTTGGCAAAATCTTTCCAAGGATACTTTGTCTTTTTGAATCTGACTGTCAGCTTTATGATGTCCACCTGAAGTTTTTGTTGATTTTACTTGGAAAAACACAACCCCATGGACATGATGTACTATAACAAAGTCATGTTCACCCATTACCCAATTTGACATATTAGTTTTTGTCATCTGCTGGGGAGTACTCATCCACATGGGAATGTACTCACTAAATTTATAGGAATGAATAACAAACATGGGCTCCTTCTTAATTTCACCAAATTCTCTTAAGATGTCAAAGAAATGTTTTTCTGTAAATTCCCCAATATTTGGGTTCTTTGCCTTAGATATGAAAGTCCGAGGAACCATGCGAGTGCCACTGGGAGAGGTCCAGTCTGGATAGTTCTCATACAGGCGAGCACGAATTTCCTCATCCAAATCACGTCTTCCATTATCTTGCAGACCTTTCTCTCCACAAGATTTTACTGAATACATTTTGAAAACCTATAAAAATTAGCAAAAGTAAATATCAGCATGCTGAAAAAATAGATATTCAAAATACAGTAAGTAAATACACATTCATGAGTTGCTGTAACTCCATTCATAACAGTGAATTCCAAGTTTTTACAGAAGTGAGTAAAACCTTACAGTGTAAACATGCACAGTTTGTAGATAGGTCATTTTGATATGGATAACAATAGTTCCCAAACCTAGTAATTTGTTTAAAATCAATCACAGGGGTAAGGGTATAAAGAAACTGTGGTGCTGCATCAGTGGGGACTATATCAAGATAATTTTAGTTATATCCATTTAGTTGATAATGCAAACCAGCCACCCTAAAAAGCATAAAGCTTTGAAACTCTTTCCATTGTCCAATTTATACTATCAACACAGTTGATAAAACCAAATTTATCTTGTGCAAAATTACTTTGCCAAGTTCATATTATGTGACCAAGTTTGTGTGAAAATTTTCTACACAGATAAAAGTGAAAGAGAAAAACTCTATTGTCACTGAATCACTTTTGGGGACACAAGAAGAATTGAGACTGTAACTGAGATAAGTTTAATGTTGTTGACATACATGTGATTATCATTCTTTACAAGAATTTTCAAAATCAGAGGATATGGACAATCAGGTGCAGCTGCTTTATAAATAAACAATCTCAATCTGCAAATAAGAGGCCAATATTGTGACAACATATTTTATCCTGGTTTGAGCACCATGAAGTAACCAAAAGGGTATTACTTGTACCCTTTGGATGGGATGGCAGTAACCATTATGAAACTTCGTATCCCTATATGGCTTCACTTGTAGGTGGTACATAAACTTTGTATGTCAGCTGTGTGTAATGCCAGTATGTTGATAAAACCCTACAACTATTTTCAATATAAAAGTACACATGTCTTAATCCTACAAACGTAGATCATTCTTGAAGCAGTTTCCAGCTTGAGATCATAGAAACTAGTATATTTTCTTCATTGAGAGCAACCATGCATTAAATGATCAACTGTATAACTTGAGTTAAACTTAGTAATTTCTCATACATTATCCAGGGTTTTAGAAATTAGCAGCCAAAGAATTGTGAAGAATAACAACAATTACATATTGTCTCTGCCTGAAACAAAAATAGCACATATTTCTGCTTCATTTGTCTTCATCATCTTGGGATGATTCTTCATTGTTTTATCTATTTTCAGTTACAAATACACCCTCAGCATCATTGGTTTCAACATCTCCAGATACTTTTTCATTGTAGTTGTTTAAGCAGTCATCATTCAGTATATACCTTCTTTTTACAGATCGCTGTTAATTAGGAGCCAACTTGCAGCTTTGATAACTGTATTTGGTCTGACAGTTAATGACAATGCACTACTCTTGTTTTGTAGTTCAACAAGTTTCAAGTTTACCCTAATTGTTGCAATTTCATGTGGTAGCCATGGTAACATACTAATGATACTACTCACATCTGCTGGTACATTAACAATATTACCATGTATATTAAGTTGCTTTCCTCTTGGTGCCTGCATAAGTTTCTTTAAAGTAATTCTGAGTGCGAGCAATCTACACTCAATTTCATTTAAATCAGAGAGTGCTGGTTTGTGTGGAAATTGCATGCCATTAACTATTGCACATGGTGAAACTTTGTTTTTACTCAAATAGATTAAACATGTTTGACACATGCATTCAACATTGGTGACACTTTCCTTACCTCTAAGATATTTATCAACATCAGGAGTCTTTTTTCTTAGATTACTGGAGTACACTATGTTTGTGAAACAGCTGATCACAGCAAGTACAAAATTTAATATACAATGACCCTTGAGAAACTATGTCATGAAACTTTGAAATCCAAAACTTGATATTTTTTTCTTTGTTTGATAACTCTTCATGTATTGATAATTGTTTTCTCTTTCCTCATTAGAAATACCCTTTTCTGCTTTTCTTTTCTGTCTATTTTCTTTCATGTAGACACTGTTCTTTCTTTTACAGTTGCAATTATTTATTTCATTGTCATAAAGTCCAAGATTAACACAAGAGTTGTTAGTGCTGGTTTGAGATGAACTTACCCTGAATTCAGCTTGTAAAGTTGACACATAATGCATTTCACCAATGTGACTGAAATATAGACTTAATATCTCTATTCTCAGTATTTACACATTCAACTAGGGTCAAATGTGAAAAATTTGCATTTGATTCTACAATGTGAATCCTTAAGTTCAGTGAATCTGCAACAGCTTGTATGACAATGTGATCAGCCCAAGTTCCGTGAATAGACATATGTGATAATTACCTCTACCATAAGCCATCCAAATTGCTTTCAATAAATCTCTCTGGATTATTTCTCAAAAGCTGCACAGCCAGTGCTCTAATTTCTGAGTGCTCCTAATCCATGTATAAGTAGCCTTGAGTTCAAAAGGAATGCAGGTGTGGTATTTCATACTAATGCTGCTGAACTAATTTTGCTATCTGGAACAGGACCTGGATTTAATTCAGCATCTCTAGAGGGTAAAATATTTCTTTTTTAGGCATTAAATGCAAGCGACCTTGTTATACTCTTAGCTTGGCAAAATTACTTACTGAAGAAATTAGTTTGCCTTTCAGCATGTCTAGTTTTGCACCATTTATAATTAATAGCAATGTTGTGTAAATCAAAAGAAACGGGAACTGAGTCTCTGAGAACATTTTTCACTTTCACTCTCAATTTTCGAATTTTCAAGGAATGCATTACTTTACGTAATGATACTCTGGATGGTTCTTTGTCACGAAATTTCTGCTAACTCCTTGAACTGTAAACGTGATCTGAAATACAGATTGCTTTTCACACTTTTAACAATAATGTCATTAATGACGTGAACTTTTGCATCATAGTCAACAGCTGTAATGTTTTCCCCACAATCAGGCACAGCTTTCATGAAACCTCGAGCGCCAACATGAGAGCAATTTGCATTCGCAATGCTTTTAACAACAGGTGTTTGTCGGATTTGTTCACGATCAAAAGATCTCTCCACATTATTTCCGACAAATACTCTGTTATAGGCGAAATTACATGTAGAGTCATTAGTGTGCATTGCCTCCCTAAGGAGGTTCTTTGTCTCCCGAGGGAGATTATGGTTGTTTACTATTTACTAAAAAAATTCTGGAAGTTTCGGTAATTTCGGTTTTGAGTTTTCGTTCGGTTAACACGGAGGGGTCGTTTACCATTTGCATAAGATTTCTGGATTGTCGCGCCGCGCAGGAGAAACTGATCGGCTAAGATTTGCTATTTCTGATTGTCCAGTTGATACGTCAGCTGTGTATAAAATGAAAGAAAACACGTTGCAGTAAATTTACAATTATTTTCGCGGGAGAATAAAAAATAACGTAAACCTTGACAGCCATTCGGTTTTGAACACAAATTAGCGATCTTAAGTCTGCTCACCATTTAAATAGAGGGAACAGCTATGTAATAAGAATATTTCCAGAATTGTAGACGAATAAGAGCAACATGAACACTAATACACATCCCCCATTTGCTGTGAACCTACCATATTTGTTGTTGTTGAAGCGATTGCGCTCGGCCAAAGGCGAAGAGGCGTGAAACTAGTACGAAACTCATGAAACTTCTTAATGGTGAACGAATTTCCATTCGGAACGTCCCACCCGGAAAAACGGGACAACGTTTTAAGAATTTTCGTTTATTCCGGGAATTTTCCAGAGGGAAGAACCGAAAAAACGTTTACCATTTACATCCCAACCGGAATTTCCGGGAATATGTGGTGAACGGTAAACAATATAAAACCTTTAAGTCGGTGTACGTCACTCCTTTAACGTGCTTTTCAATGCCAAACAGGCCAACATCTTGACAGATATAATGTTCGACACGTCCTGCATGCCAAATTCTTAACAATATTTCTCAAATGCGTCACTCGATAGTTATCGAAGAAACACCTTCGTCCGTAGACCGCCTCTCGTTCAAAAACATCACTCGATCTAACAGTGCGTAAACTATCGAATACTTCTTTAAACACATACGATTTACGCATTCCTCGAAAGCTGTGCACGATTGCGTGGGTGAAATAAAGAGGAAACTTTATCTCCTACTTACCAAAATCCTCTCTCGCTTGTACTAGACGTCGTCACCAAATATGCAGTTAACTTGTCTCCGATGACAGCAAAAAAATCACCGAGCGTTTAGACATTTATCGCACACTGAAGTGTGACCTTCAAGACTGTTCTAGAAGTAGCTGTGTCTTGCTGAGTCATCCCTGAATCAATATATATAAATAGAATCTGTTGTAATGTTACGGAACGTTCTAGATCCTCAACCGTACCTATAAAAGTCGAGCTTGTAACTGGATGTAGCGAGTGGTTTAGTTGCTGGTACAGCCCGTTAGATATCAATAAAGGTGTATACTGCAGAATACAAGACGTCCACACTTCACAGACCATATTTGGAAGATAATTGATGTCCGTATCACAATCAATGGCAATTGTTCAGACCCGTCCAACTCAAGTTCCATCGAAATGTATTGACCATAAATCGTTAGCATTATAAAATGTACAAAATTACACGATCTTATATATTTTTGTTCACATGCACAGCTATACGGTTAATATACAATTTGTTTTGTTTATTAGTGGCTTATTCTTGTATCAACGTATGCAAATAATTATAGATGTCCTAGACAATCATCAATATTGATCAGAGTCCACACATGAAATGAATTCAAATTTAAGTGCCTAAAAAGAATGTGCATAAGTACTAACAATAACTCTGCTCTCCCAAATATCATGATCTGTGCAAAGTTTGCAGAATGCATCATTTGCATTCTTTAAGTTATTTCTTTATTACTCTTTTGAATTCACAATTTAGGTCATGACATTCCAC